AGAGAGAGGTTTTTAAATACTAGGAAAGTATGACTTATTCAAATTAGATTTTCCATGCTATATTTAGTTTTACAGATGTATTTAGTTCTAAAACTGTGGTTTACTGTATTCAGGGGAGAGTATGTATATAAAAAAATCCTAGGAACCCTTCCACTCTCCCCAGACATAGTCAATTTTAGCACTACACTGTGATCTCTCCATTCCCATAGCTTATTGCTTCTGTTAACTAGAAATCCCTGGATTCTCTGTACCTAACTTTCTGTGGCTAGCCTCTGAGAAACCGATCCATTATTATTTTTTTATGCATAGTCAAGTGTTTAAGTTTCTCAAAGCTTTTGACCTTTTTCTGAGAGATTAAACAGGTTGTTCCTTTCACTATATAACAAGAATCAGGAATTCCCAGCAAACTGATTTCATTCTGTATAATGCATATACCGGAAGCACATAGGTCACACACGAACATGCTCTCAGTCAACATACATAGGCATTCATTCGAGGGGTAAATCAGTACGAGCCAAGCATACATACATGTGCAAATGTACAATCGACAGCAAATTATTTTAGATCCTAATGTCCTTTGAATATTAAAAATGAGCCAGGAGACAGCTCCTGTGACATTTATATGAAAGCTCTAGATTGACATTTTCACGTAGAAGTAGCTTCATATCACATCTCGTGAGTTTCGTATCGCGCAACAAAGGACCATGCTGAATATCATGCCGAAGATCTGAAACAGAAGAAAGCACTTATTAATGACTTTCAAATGATAAAAATTGATGCAAAGGTCAGCAAACTGTGCGTACAACTCAAGTTAACATAATATAACCAATAATTACTGGTTATAAATGGTATTTACTTATGACAACTGGTTAAAGACGTCCATATTAACTATGCTTAAAAAGCATTCCTATTTTATTATTGTTAAAAATATAGCAAGACTCTGCTTTAAGAAAAGGGCTCTATTTCTAGCCTCTAGGACAGTTTTTAATTGTAAAAGACTAATAATACACTACTGGTTTGGGAATTTTATATTTCCGGTTAATCTCATATATTTACTTTGAAAAGTGTTTATAATCACTAGTTGTTTAAATATGCTTGTGGTCTAAATAGCTTTCTATTGTTGAAAACGCTTCAAATTTTTGTACCAGTGACAGTATATTAAAAAGTGGACTGTCTCTTCATTTCCAATTCATTTTTAAGTATAAATGATGCTTCACTATTTAACCCAATTGTTTTACCAAATCATAAACTAAGGTGTTTGAGCTATGGTGTGAGGTGTTTCCGTATGGTATTACTGATGTCTTCTACATCTTGGATACTTCTTGGAGAAGCCAATTACTTGGCAAGGCCAGTAGCCACGTATACAGTTTGAATAGAAGGATGCCAAAAGATCCCCTTGTCCTCAATCATTTCGCCTACAATTCTGCAGAGCCTGAGGAATGTGCTCCGTGTGTACAATGTTTATAAACTCCTGTCAGTGTTTGTTTAAAGAAACCAGTACCACAACTCTCTGGTTCTCTCCTCAATCCTGACCTACATCAGACTAGGACCTGTAAGTGTTAAGTTAAAGAAGACGTGTTTATCAGTTATTTCAGAAGGCGGGAGTAGACTTAAGTAAGGGAATGGCCTCCATGCTCAGGCAGGGCTCCAAGCTTCTGGCTGACAGAACTCGGTTCCAGTGTGTGGCAGGGGAGACACCTAATGGACAGTTGGTTAACTGACTACACTGTGCAACTCTTACCTTAGGAAGAAAATATTAAAGGAGACTCAGTGTATTGATTCAAGATGGCCAACAGAGGGCATTCCCCCTGGACTATGGTTGTAAGATTGGACGCAACCCCTACCTCACATGGGCTGTACTCTAAAGAGATACCCCCAGAAAGAAACTTTACCAGCCTCATCCTGCCACTGTCATGAGTCAGGGGTGACTCAGAGATGCTCATTCATCGAGATTGTAGAATTGTGAGGAGGGTCTACCTGATACTTCTATTATACAGAATGTTTTCAAATATTCCGCCTCAGAATGGTAATCAGGGTAGCCCCAGAGCAGGTGGGGGAGGCCGAAGAGGTGTTCCTGGACCGACAGTCCTCAGCATGGTATGTACACCCAAGAAAAGAGGAAAGATGCTTGTGTGTCCCCTGAGAACTATCAAATCATTGATTTCTTTGCAATAGAGGGTTAGAGGCTGAGTACTACCTTAGCATTAGCTATTAGCATGAGACCCCTGGACAATGGCAATCACCTCTTTACTGGCCCCACCTGACTCCAGTCTTGCTTCCCTTCAACTTTATCATCACAGGTCCTTCTAACCCTGGTGGCTCCCCTATTTCTATCCAATCTCTGAAAAGGACACACAAAGACTTCAGTTATGTAGACCCTCAGGCCCTCTCCTTATCATCTCTTGCTTGCTACTCCTACGATACCCTTCTGTCCCTATCAATCCTTGCACACTCTTCTTTTGTGCTTTAGAAGTACCGAGCCACTGCAGGTGCCTGGAGGCACTACGCCCCACACTTGCACATAACGCTGTTCCCTTCGCCTGGATTCTGGGTTTGGGAACACACAGGCTGTATAAAGAGCCAACATTTATTGAGTGCTATGTTCCAGACACTATACAAATTCATTTCTAATAACACTCTAGATGTATTATCCCACTTAAACTTCACAACAATCTTATGAGATCAGAAAATTAAAATCCTTCTTTTCAGGTGAGGGAATTGAGGCCTAGAAAAATTAAGAAACTTTCCTGTGATTCCCAGGGGCTTATAGGTAGTGAATCTAGGAGCTGAAGCCAGACAGTGTGATGCCAAAGCTCACACTGTTAATCATCACACTGTGCTGACTCTGTGAATGATGAGAGGGGTTGACCTGATGTTATTGTAAATTTCTAATAGTAGGAAAAGACCCAGATTAAAAATCACTTGTCTAATTTAGGCATGGTGGCTTTAAAATGGGAAGTAATTACAATGATAAAATCAAGGTCAACATTAGGTTATGGTATTTGTATCATATTTTAGAGAACTTAGGTTTAATGTATTTAATTAGCTTTGTTCATAGATGTCCTGTCAACAAATGTCTTTGTCTTTTAGAAGGCATCTCTCCTAAGATACTGCCATCACACTTGAAGAGAAATAAGATGCAAAGGTACAAGGCTTCTTAGAGGGCAAGAAGGTATGTTCTGGCACTTTCTCACCGTGAGACCTGCAATTCCAATACCGACAATTCCAATGAGCTGGAGCTTAACACTGATTATGGTCTCAATTTCATCAATGCAGTTCTGTTGTGGAAAAAAAGAGTCAGGAATAAAAACTGATGGTACAATAGTCCCCCCTTACCCATGGGGGATACATCCCAAGACCCCCAGTGGAAGCCCGAAACCGCAGATAGTACCAAACCCTGTATATACTATGTTTTCCCTA